GTTGCCAGCCCAAAGGCAAGCAGTTCTAATCCACTTGCCGCTCTGTGAGAGAAAGATGAGCACTCTCCTGTGTGATTTACAGCCTCTGAAAACTAACTATGGGTCATCTATGAATCAGTTCCAGCTTGATGGTATATAACACCACCACCACCACCACACTCACACGCATACATACATATTTGACGTTCAAAGGAAAATAACTGGACAGCATCTAGAGAGCACTGAGTTGGTGGTCAATTGATAATTCCTCTTATCAAAGATTTACATTTCTATTTCTAGTCCTATACTTTCTATAAAGGGTCCAAGATGGTAAACTTCAATTTTGAAAGATTTTCAACACTCAGTAGAGTCCCTAAGTGACAGCTTGGGAAAGAAGCTGGAGTCCAGGCTTGGTGTCACTCTCCCAGGCTTTCATCTCCATTTTCTTCTGAGTTATTCATGGCCTCTCATTTCTCCCGTCCCCTTTCAGTGTTTCTCCATCCCTCCACATTAACCTCTCCTGCTCTCCTTTCTATATCTCCGTTCCCCCCCTTCCTCCCCTGCATCCATCTCCCTCTCTCACCTTGACCGGTGTGTGAAGTCAGTCAGTTTCAGCCTCTCATTTTGCCTGGTCTGCTTCTCACTTTCACTCATTTTCCTCTCTCAATTCTGCACATTTCCCTTTTCTTTGCTTGTTCTTCATATCCCTGGGAGTCAGGATACTTGGATCCTGATCTGAAATGTGCCCCATTCCTAGTCTTCTCTTGTATGGAAGCCCTTAGGCAGGCAAGTCATTTAGCTTCCCTAGGCCCCAGCTTCTTTGTCTGTACAATGAAGTTATTTGTCTATTGGGACAAACTTGTCTATAAATTCTGCTATTTTATACTTACATTTTATCCCTGTCTTAAGTGAGAAGAAATTGAGATTCAATATACTTACAGGATTTGTCCACAATCACACAACCAATTAAGTATCTAAGCCTTCTGAGTTTAAGATTTTGTTTCCTAACATTTGCTATTTCCAAGTTTAGGATTCATTGATTCCATGACCTTTCCTCTTTACACCTTAGAAAAGAATTAGATAGTAACTAGAAACAAGAAAAACCCAACAAAAATCAAAACCAAACATACAAAAACCCCAAATTCACTGTTGTCAGAACAGTGTCCCATAAAGTTTCTGAGACTGTAAATCTTTACAGAAGAAAAGTGCCTCCTCTTTCCCTTTTGGAGTGGCTGGTAGGTTTGAACTGCTGACCTTTTGGCTAGCAGTCAAGTGCTTTAACCATTGTACCCCCAGTCATCCCTCAGAGAGCCACAGGAGATGGTGGCTATTGATAGACAACCGCACCCTGAAGGGACTACTTGCTATTCATGTTCCCTGAAGGGGGAATCTGTGGAAGTCAGACCACAGGAAGGGAGCAGGAGAAGGAAGAGGTAGGACTCTGAGGAGGAAAACTGTGAGAGCTAAGTCCAGAAGAGGCAGCACACCATCTGGATCCTTACATCTAGACTGAGGGAAGGATGAGAGTTCTCTGAAGCAGACCTGGTTGGGTGATAGGAGGCGAAAGGGAGGGACCAGGTGCTATGTTCATGCTTTGTGTGGTCTGCCTGAGTGCCCGGTTCTGTGCCAACCTCAGGGATATAACGAAAGGATGTCTCACCAGACCCTTTTTCCACTGACTGAAGTTTCAAGACGCCTTTAAATAGAAAATGGCTCACCTAAGAATTAGAAGGAGGAAGAGAAACAGGAGAATGAAAAAGGAGGGGAGAAGGGGAGCTCTGGTGGCCTAGTGGAAAGAAGCTGTACTGCAATCCCAAAGGTACACGGTTCGAATCCACCAGATGCTCTGCCGGAAAAGGAGGGACAGTTTCCTCCTGTACCAGTCAGATCTGATTTGACGGTACATGCACAAAAAATAATAAAGTTTAAAAAAAATTTTAAAAAAAAGGAAAAGGAGGGGAGAAACAGAAAGAAGATAGAGAGTAGAGGTGGCACAAGGGTGATAGGAGGAACGATGGGACTGAAGAGTCCATGATTCCATGAGCTGTCGCTGTTCAGACACATGACTTGCGTCTTCATGACAATGTGCATTCTTGGTAGTTGAGGATGAGAGAGGGAAAAAAGGTCTATCTGCCTCCTACTTCACTAATACAACTCAATTTTTAAAAAATTTTAATTGTATGAACCAAGGGTAAGGCTTCGACAAGGAAGCATAAGACATGACCCTTCAGCACTCAGTAGTGGATGGTGGCAGGCATGAGACAACCTCTTCTGCCTTCTCCATGGTCTGTCTTCTTCCCTCTCACCACTCCTCTTTGCATGCCAACCCTGCTTAACTACCCCTGTGGTTTCCTACCCTGCTCCCTGCCCCCTGGTGGGAGGGGTGGGAGGAGCTGGAATGCCCTGTGGGAAGGAGACACCAGGGCAGCAACTAAGAAGGTAGGTGCATGTGTGGTTGTTGGGAGTTGGGAGGTCGAGATGTTGCCCCCTCATTGGGGCCTGGCTCCCAGGGAATAGAGCTCTTTTTCAAGATTTGGGATGAAATGATTGGAACTCCATGATTTTAGTTTCCAAAATGTTTGTTGTTTGCCCTCCCCTTAGAGGTGCAGGCGCTGGGCTGGGCTGGAGGTGCTCTGGGGGAGACTGGAGGGATGTGGTCTGCTTCACTGTTGTTTCAGTGGGGGTCATGTAGGCAATGCCTTCTCCAATCCTCCCCTCAATGTGGGGCAGGGACTTGCCCCCAAGTTGGTACAGGCCTTCTGGTGTTGTCTTTATCTGTTTCCCAGTTATTCCAAGTTGTCCTATCTGTCTGTCTGGTTGTAGTTTCTTAGAGTATGTTTCCGTCTGTCTGTTTGTCTCTGTCTGATGTCAGTTTCTTGGCTTCTTGGGGAGGAGGCTCTCTGGATGTTTTCTGGACAGCCTAACAGTGTATGTACGTCAATCTGTCTGTCCTTGGCTTCTTGGGGGAATTCTCCCTAAAATAAGTCTTTCCCTCAACTACTCTCAATATTCCCCAGTCCCATCAATGGCTCTCACAACCCCCTCAATCCAATCCTTTCCCTAAACCAGGGGTCCCACTTTCAGAGAGTATAGTTCAAAATTCTCCTTGAGTTTTTTGAGAACAGGCCAGGGTTTGTGAGGTTGGCTGTGGGTAGGAGGCCATTGAGAGAAAATCTGGGTGTGTTGCATGACTCCAAGACTAGCCAGGCTCCTCTCCTTCTGTCAGTCCAGTTTCCCACCAGCTTAACCAGGCTCATGGCCTCCTCTAAGGCTTTCTAGGGATAAGCCAATTGGATCCATAAGAGACTCAGTAAGGAATCCAAAGGCCATTCAGGCCTCCTGATGGGCTTCTGATTTGTGAACTCAGAACCAGCCTGGGAATTCCTTCATTTTCTTCCTTTGGACTCCACCTAATGCCAGTGGTGGACAAACATCAGCACAGGTTTTTTTGTGCCTATTCCTTCTTCCTCCATTCCCCCCCAAACTGTGGGGCTGAGCAATGGCCCTTTCATTTGAGCCTCTGGGCTCATCCCAGGGGACTGCTGTGGCAGCTTATCTTTATAAGCCGATTACCCACAGCCCAGTCTAATCAGAAAGGTAAAGAGAAGTTGCATCAGCCTGAGTCAAACCCTCAGCCTCAGAGGAACCCACTTAGAGAGAGACCTGGAGGTGGGGGAAGGGGTTGGCAGGACAAAGCTGGGACATCCTTCCACAGCCTTTTGGAGAGGAGCAATTGGGAGTCTAGAGGCAGGAGAAACTTCTCGTGAGGTCCGAAGCCTGTCAAAGGTGATGCTCTCATGAGAAGAAAGACCCAAAATAGATAGTCTGGATGCAGGGTGTCTGGATGAGGGCTGTTAGAGGAGAGAGCTTCAGGGAGCTGGGGTCAAATGAAGCAGTTATGAGACTGGCAGAGGCTTCGCCAGGTAGTTACCATAGACTCTGTCCCTGTACACTGCGAGACACACCCTGTGCAGTCAGTTAGGAAGCCATCTCTTCACAGGCCAGTAGTGGGAGCTGAAGGTGGTGCGGCCTAGAGTAGCTGGTCAAGGGCAGCAACTTCATGCCACAGTCTCTCTCGAGCTGCCGTCATCCCCTTCCCCACGTCCTCCCTGCTGCCAGCTAATGACAGGGCTTTATTCTGGGGAACTGAATAGACCAGTAATTGCAGCCCTAGAGGCTCCCCTCCCTTTCAGGCTCTCAGTCATTTGGAACAATGACCCTGGAGCTGGCCGGCTGCCTCCCAGCGTCGAGCAGAATTGCAGCCCATTTGTCTCCGTGGGTGGCAATGGGGCCGGGAAGAGGAAGATTGGCTTCTATTAGAGTGATGAGAGGAGGCGGTCAGTAAGGGGAGGCGGGGCTCAGGAAGGGGAGGAGCTAGGCCTACCCGGAAAGCGTAGAACCCTCAACTCTGTGCAGAAAGAGACACGGGGTTCTGGGAGCTGGAGGCAAGCTGGGTCTCCCTCTTAGGACATGGTCTTTCCATCCCGCTTACTCC